GGGTTCGGATCCCACATACAGACCGGTTCCCGCTCACTGGCTGAGCGAGGGGCGGGAGCAACACCGAGGGTTGCGATCCCGTTGCCGGTCCCCGGTCCGGTACGGGGGCAACACTGAGGGTTGCGATCCGTTGCCGGACACGGAAAAAGACAAAAAAAAAGAAAAAAAAAAAAAAACAGAATAAACTTCTCTAACTTTAAACTTGTGGCATCAGTGGCATATATATTATGCTAGATGTTCTCTGCCAGGCAGCAAAATGCAGCCTAGTGTGAATTTAGAAAGGAGAGCCTTGTGCATTCAAAATAGCATTCTTAGCATATTTTAGACCATACCTTCTCTTGACAGGTAAACTAAAACAACAGAAACTGAAAAAAAAAAAAAAAAAAAGAATATTTGTAGAAAAAACACAGAAAAAAATGATTTTATAGTCCACAAAAAGAGACCCATGGTCTAGGGAATCCAAGCAAAGGGTTGACACTGTAGCATCCAAATTATGTACCATTTAGGTTGCCCATGGTTGAAGGAGGGTCTGTTCTCACTCTACTGAGACTACAAATTATTATCAGGGTGGTCCATAGAAAAGACTGAGAGCCAGATTATCCAGTCCCCATCTCAGCCAAGTTACAGTACAACAAAACCTAGAGGAGAAAAGTAGTCACCCATATATATTTGTTTTTCATGGTTCAAGTTGATTTTCAACAAAGGACAAGTTCCTTTACCAGAGGGTAAAGTCTAAAACTTTATGGATTTAGTCTTATGGGTTTTGATTTGACTCTATAACAGCGTTTTAAATTGACTCGCTTTTATTTTTTTTCTTGCTTTAGTAGCTGAACCTCTCCTTAGCCACCTCACTATCTCAAATGTGACCTGGGGCAGTGTGTCCATCTCGTGGAAAGCTCAGGAGACTGCCTTTGATAGCTTTCTTATAGAAGTTAGTAATTCTGATCAATCCCAGGAGACGGTGGTGCATTCTGTGCCTGGGGCATCTCGCAGCTCTGTCATCACCAACCTCAAAGCTTCTTCTAATTACACTGTCCACCTTCACGGGCTGATTGGCGGGCAGCGTGCTCAGACCCTGATGGTCCAAGCAACCACAGGTATTTCTCATTATGGCTTCTTCCCTCTCCATTGAACTTCCTCTGAATAGCATTCCAAAAATCACCCGCTATCCACTTTTCATCCTCCTGGTTGCTCCAGATCCTTCTTAAAGAGACATCCAAATCAGAGCTTGAAAGCTTTAAAATAACTCTCACCCCAAATTAAGGAACTTCAGTGTCAATCTTTTTTTTCTAAGTATCCACTCACATCTGGAGTTGCTCTGTTTGTTTGTATAAATTTAATGTGACTTGCTTTGGTTGAATTTCTAAACCATCTTTTCATCCTGATCTTGAGTAATCTTTTCCAATACCAACCCATTATCATCTGCCTGTGGTCTTTCTAATCAAAGTTTACCTATATCACATACAAAGGCATGTGCATGCCATTTTTGGTTCCTTGATCAGAATGATCTACACTGTCTTGCTCTCTACCAGGATTTTAAATAGTGACGCTTCCAGCATGCTGAGAAGAGACTCTAAATCATATCTGAGAACTGCATGAGAAGACCCAGTGGTCTCATCTTGTTCTTGAGACTTTTATTTGTCTTGATTTCCCACAAACAGCATTGACTCTGTCAAGCATGTTTTGTCACCCACTGATATCCATCATAAAGTGTCAGAATCTTCTTTCCATCAACTATCTTGTGCAAATCTTGGTGCATGTGGTGAATATGCAGAGCATTAAATTTCTAAAAATGTCTATCTTTCCTGGAAGCAAACAGCATGTCAAGGAATTGTATCAAAGGAGTAGAAGTGGTGGAGAAAAATGTCCCTCACTTGCATGGAACACTGACCGCACCCTAACTAGCATTCTCTTTCTAATTTTTTCTTGCATCTCACATTTCAGCTTGGTTGTACCCTCTGGGAGACAGCTGGAGGTAAAACTGACCTCAAGAACCTAAGTCTTATTCTGCATGGTGAATGTGTTGGCACTGTCTGTCTTTGTCTGGTTTCAGGAGAAGAATCCCAACATGCATCCTTAATTCAGGAGATTGCTTCCACAGCAAAATATAGGGAAAGAAAAGAGCCCTGTTTGGAGGATTATCTTTTGTGTGGTTGAGGGAATTTGCCAATGCTGTAGCTGAAAAAAATAGCATCATTCATTAGCTTCTCTAAATAATTGAAAAGTAGGAGATCCCCTGTCATGCTTATGGATATATTCTGCTTCTGAGCTAGATCCCTTTTGTCCTTAGAGATTTTATGGCATTGAGTTATGCTGTGCAATTGTGCAGTTATTTATCCAAATGAGCCCCTTCTTTCCTCCGAATTCTGGAACTGAAACAAAACAACTTCCAAACCTTGGGAAGAAATGGTCTGCCTCTTCCCAACCCTAAATCCTGATCCTAACATCTCAATCCTCCAGGACTGTTGACTCTCTCTAAAATGTAGTCTGGGTTGAACTTATTTTAATGATAGTATATTTGGTAAATGAGCATTTAGGAGGCCAGCCCCATACACATCTCAGTTGAAACTAACTGTATAGTCCCCTTATATTAAATGAGTTGCTCTCATCACTGATTGCCTAGACTTTAAGGGACAAAAAAAATTTAACCTCATTGAAACGATCCATCTTACCATATTATCCAATAAGCACATTTCCTAATCAGAAAATGAAATACCTAACTTCAAGCTTTTCTTTAACTTTTGCATCTACAAGGAATTTTTTAAAGGAAGCCTTCTTCACCTTTACACTACTTAGGGTGAGATACAGATTTTTCTATAGTGCATAAATTTGGGAAATTTGGGTTTCTAAATACTACAAAGAATTTCTCTTGTATAGGTATTAGCCTTTAATATGTGCAATCCAAATAGATCAAAAGAAGATTAAATAAGAAAACTTCAAAGTAGAATTTTTTAAAGCAGTTTCAATGGAACACCAGCTCCATGGTAGGTATTAGCCTTTAATATGTGCAATCCAAATAGATCAAAAGAAGACTAAATAAGAAAACTTCAAAGTAGAATTTTTTAAAGCAGTTTCAATGGAACACCAGCTCCATGAGATGTTCCAAGAATATTGCTCAGATAAGGTATTCATTAATTAGTAAGTTCATGAAATGCTGGACTAAACAAAATTAAGTAGATTTATTTACATAACCAGCCTGTCAATGCTTTTAAAATGCTCCCACACTTTGTGAATCACTATGGTAAGATATAATATTCAGTGTTTACCATGCATATTTCACCATGAAGCTGTTTTTCTTGGAATATCTCACAGAGTTAGTGCCTTATTACAAACCTTGGAACATGTAGCCTTAATACCCTTTATATTAATCCTATCTACTGCTCTAATGGCCTGATCACTTTTCTTTATGCACTACTAGCAAATGATTGTGTCTATACTTTAAAAGAACACAAATCCATGCCTGCAGTGAAAGCAACATATTCTCTGTCATTATAGTCAATGTTGGAGATATTGATGCTTTCATGTTCTATGGCCACATTCTGGAGAAATCTACTGCTTCCTCTAATAATGTCTCTCTCTTTTTCTCTGCCCGCGTTCCTCCCCCTTTAGAGCCAGAGCCACAGTGGGGCACGCTAATCCTTAGCAATATTACTCCCGACAGCTTCAATGTCTCATGGACCACTCGAGCTGGGCTTTTTGCAAAGATTGTTATCAATGTGAGCGATGCCCACTCGCTGCATGAGTCCCAGCAGTTCACAGTCTCAGGAGATGCACAGCAAGCTCACATCAAGGGCTTGGTGGAGAATACTGGCTATGACGTTAGTGTGGCTGGGACCACCGGGGCTGGGGACCCCACCAGACCCCTCACTGCCTTTGTCATTACAGGTACTCAGTCAGAGGTTCTCACTAGTATGTTTAGATTTCTGACACAGGGAAAGCAGGGGAAAGAGATAGGCATTCAAAGGAAAGTTTAACCCAAAATATAGTCTTCACTCCAAAGGTAAACTTCTTTTTAGCTGACAAATAATAATTGTATATATTTATTGGATACAATGTGATGTTTTGGTGTATGTATATGTTTTGATTTGTGGGTGTGTATATATATGTAGACACATACACACACACACATTTTGTGGAATGATTAAATCGAGCTAACATATCAATCACCTCACCTATTTATCTATTTATGAAGTGAGAACATTTAAAATCTACTCACTTAGCAATTTTTAAATATACAATACATTATGAACTATGATCACCATGTTATGCAATAGATCACTAAAACTTATTCCTCCTGTCTGGCTGAAACTTTGTACCTTCTGACTCATGTCTCCTCTTTTGCCAACCCCCCACGCCATCCTGGATAACCACCACTCTTCTCTACACTTCCATGAGTTCAACTTTTTTAGATTCCACATATAAGCCTAAAACTTATTCCTCCTGTCTGGCTGAAACTTTGTACCTTCTGACTCATGTCTCCTCTTTTTCCAACCCCCCACGCCATCCTGGATAACCACCACTCTTCTCTACACTTCCATGAGTTCAACTTTTTTAGATTCCACATATAAGTAAGATCATGTAGTATTTGTCTTTCTGTGCCTGGTTTATTTCACTTAGCCTAATGTCCTCTGGGTTTATCCATGTTGTCACAAGTGGCAGGATTTCCTTCTTTTTAAGGCAGTATAGTATTCCATTGTGTATTTATTCCTCCTTTTCTTTATCCATTCATCCACTGATGGACACTTAGGTTGCAATGCAGCATTATTCACAGTCGCCAAGATAGCAAATGTAAACTTCTAAGTGAAGAAACAGCAGATATTGTTGCAAAGGAGAGAGCTTTCACAGCCACTCTTAGGAAGTGGTGATAATGTTCTTACTAGTTGTATAAAGCTTTCAGGCATTTTTGTCCCCAATTTTGTAGGCTGTCTTAACCACAGTTTGGGGATTCTTGCTAAAGAGTGAATTCTAATTTAGTAAAGACCTAGGACAGGAATTCTGTTCATAAGTCATTCTAGGTGAGGCTGTTTATAAACTACCTGCCCCAGAAATATAATAATCTATCTTTTTCTTTTAAAAAAAAATTCTTCTTAAAATTGACAACTACAACAGATTGGTGACAGTTTAACCTAGAATAGCAGATACATTTCAAGTTTAATTAAACTTACCCATTCATGAAACTTGACTTCTAATTTCTCTTTGAATTACATAAAGAAATGGTTTTCTATGTTTTATCTTGTCAGTGGCAAAGGGTACAAATGGTGTCAATTCACCAAATCTCTAGCCTGAAGAAAACCTCAGAAAATATTTAGAAGTCTCTTGTCTTCCACTAATGATAATTTTCAGGTGGCTGACTTTGCCATCTGATTTTCACATTAAACCAGGTCTCTCCTGGGGTCTACATAGCTATAAATAAGATATGTTAATAAGTACAATTAAATATTTAGTTGGAAGCAATACAGTGTCCTGGAAGAGTAAGCATTTTGAGATCAAGCCTGTGTGGTTTCTAACCCTCTCCCACATCTTTTTAGCTGTATAACCTTGGCAAATTCTTAACTTGTTTGAATCCTAATTTTCTTATGTAAGGAAATAGAACACCCACAGGTATTTCTGGCAGCCGTCTCTCAGGGATTAAGTAGGTATGATGAAATATAGCTGCCTAGAATACAGTAGGTATTTTATAGATGCTAGGTCCTTTCTGCTGTCTCCCAACAGTATGAGGAAAGTGATGTTCTTTAAAAAAACCAACAAGCCTAGGTAGAAACAATAGACCTGCATAATCACACTTCCCTGTTATTTTTAAGAGAGCTTTGGATGTGTTTTTATGTAAGATTAAAGTGGTCATTTTTTTCTGTCCAGTTATCTAATGTGAATTACATCATTCAGTCTTCAAATGCAGAACATGGTCATTTCTTAAGAGAGGTGGGAGGAGTAGGTAAGAGCTGGGTCTCACTGCCCTGGAGGAATGGCCACAGATCCCATCAGACCCTTGCTTGCAGGCTCTTGCAGGACCTCCCACTGAACAAGGGGAAGAAAGGGAGGCTGGAAGAGCTGGTCTTGGGAATCCTGGATCCAGTTACTGCATTGTCTCAGCTAATCCGTGATGTGAAAAGACTCTTTTAAAAGAAGCACATTAAAAAGAAAAAAAAAACTGAACAGGAGGGACTCTAAATAACTAGTCTTTGATTGACTAATTAGCCTGAACTGCCTCATTTCCATCGGAATTTGCTGCTTTGACAGCATGGAGGTGCAAAGTAGATATCAAAGAGAGGCGCCACTTATCTAAACAAACCCCAGCAACAGAATTTGAGACCCTTGTCTTGCAGACCAAGACTGTTTACACAGTATATGTGATTTCATCTTTGCCTTTGATAGAGTTATGATTCTTGGGAGATCTTTACATGGAAAAAAAAATGCCTCAAAGTAAACACGAAGTGTTTCAAAATAAGTACAGGAAGTTCAAGTGCAGCAAAATTTAAGCCTCTGCTTAGAAGATAAAGGCATTCATTCCCTTATTCATTCAGTCACCAAACACTTCTTTTTTAAACATTTTCTTTATGTCCCATGGATTAGACCCTGGGCATTAGTGTGAGGTCGTTTATCTCTTTGAAAGTTTCCATTTAGCTGCAATGTAAAAGAAGGCTTTAAACTAGATGAGGCTAGTGTGGATTTCCCATCCCCTTACCCCTCTGATAAAAATTAAATACATTCACCATTACCGTATTTTTACTAGAGAGGAGGTGCTGGACCTTCTCCAATAATACTGCTTATGCCTCAGGATTTGTCAGCCCTGATGGTGTTTACTAATTAGTCGTTGGCTTGGGGTATAGAAAAAATATAGAATTTGAATTCAGAAGACATAGTTAAATCCCATTTTTAGTCACCTAGTAGATGTGTGATCTTGAATAAGTTATCGACTTTTCTGTTTCCTTGGATGTCATAGGGTTCGGGGGGGCAGGTAGCAGCATCTACCTTACAGTGTCACTGTGAGGATTAATAGGATAATGGACATGAAGCCTCATCAGGTCAATTGAAAGTATTGACAAAAACTTAGCTGAGATAAGCTCAGTCTTTTAGGAAATCCCAATGTGTGAAAAGACTATTTAGCACTTGAGAAATAAGACTGCCTAGGACACAAATGTTTGGTGAGCGAATGAACAGAGGATAATGACAGAACTTACTGAAGATCCAGATTTGTGTCCTTGTTTTCTAACTTTATCTGGGAAAATAAACAGTAAAAAAAACTAGCAAATCATACAATTTCTTACTAGGCCATACCCATAAATTGTTAATTTTGACACATGAAAAAAATCCTACCTCCTCCCTTTATCTCAGCTTGTGAGAATGTGTCACTAATTGGCCTAGTTGACTTGATTCACACTGTGAATTAGAAGTGAGATAGAAACGTGAAGAATACCAAAAGGCAAGTATACTTGCAAAAAAAAAAAAAAAATGCTGATTTGCTTTAAGACCAAAAGACAGCAGTGGGAATTGAAAAAAGGAGTCCAAACCCAGCACAAGACATTATATTTGCATAGAGAGAAATTCATGGCCTTCGGAGTCAGACACATATGCAAAAAAAAAAAAAAAAAAAATGCTGATTTGCTTTAAGACCAAAAGACAGCAGTGGGAATTGAAGAAAGGAGTCCAAACCCAGCACAAGACATTATATTTGCATAGAGAGAAATTCATGGCCTTCGGAGTCAGACACATCTAACAACCTTGCTCTATCACACTAGCTCAGTGACTTTGGCTAAGTCAATCAATCTCTTTGGAATTCAGTTTTCTCACCTGTGAAATCACAATGATACCTACTTCATAGTCTTGTTGGGAGAATTACACAAGATAACACTCTGGCATCTAACAAGCTCTTAATCAATTTTCATTTTCTGAGCATATAACTCATTGAATGATTGGCTGGGTTTCTATCGGTGTTCTTGGGAACTTCTGCTATCCTGGCAGAATCAGTTCTGCTAACCTGCGTTATTTCACTCCTCCCTTCTTTCAGAAGCCCTGCCCCTTCTGGAAAACCTAACCATTTCCGACATTAATCCCTACGGGTTCACAGTTTCCTGGATGGCATCGGAGAATGCCTTTGACAGCTTTCTAGTAACGGTGGTGGATTCTGGGAAGCTGCTGGACCCCCAGGAATTCACACTTTCAGGAACCCAGAGGAAGCTGGAGCTTAGAGGCCTCATAACAGGCATTGGCTATGAGGTCATGGTCTCTGGCTTCACCCAAGGGCACCAAACCAAGCCCTTGAGCGCTGAGATTGTTACAGGTATTTCAATTCAAGTGAACCATTCTTCCCTCCTCTTGGTCCCCCTCCACGTCATCTGTCTACCAGATCACCATGATTTTAACATCTTTGTCCATATGTCCTATTTAATCCTTAGATGTGGTCTTTTCTTTCATGTCCTCCCCACACTCCCCCTTGTCTTATGTATCCAATGAGTGTTCCTCACTTTCACCCCAGAAACGAGAAGGTCGAAATGTTTCCACTTGGTGTCCCAAATCCATGTCTTGTCCATAGCTCTCGTGTGCTCACCTGTATCACCTTCCCTTGTGTCCATTCTGGCTGGACCCCACCTACATTTCAGCCTTCTCAAAAGAAATATACCAAAGAGTATATTTTGAAAACGTGTTTAAAGTCTTTGTCATCTCCAAGTCTCAACCATGATCTTAACAAACTTACCTAGTGCACTTGTCATTGGAAAACCAAATGTGACTTCTTATGTCTGTAAACATTAGTATCAGAGAGATTCTTCAACAGACTAAATCCATAATTTTCTCAAGACTAATCATTTCTACAGAAATATAACATTAACAACTTTGACAGTCAGAAATCTGTGTTTCCCAAGGTCTTTCTAAAGATTACTAGCTCCGTAAAACCTACAAAGTTCCTACTTGGTAACGAAGTGCCATGTTAAAATAAGTTTGGAAACACGGCATTAAACAAAGTTAAATGGGATCCTTGACCACAGGGCTTTTCAGAACATCCTAATGTGCATTGTTTATCTGCAAGAAGGACTTATCCAGGTAGTATTATTATTGAAAATGGATACCTTTTAAGGAAGAGGATCAAACAAGAATAGTTTGCTCCAAGCACACTTTGGGAAACTCAGCTCTAAATTTACCTTGACATTGAGTTTTGTCTAGTTAAGGCAATCCAAGATAAAACCTGGGATCCAAAGTATATAGCACAAGAGGTTCCAAGCCTCAATTCTACTATCTGAACACTCACCAAATAGTTAAAATGGCAAGAAAAGAAAAGCAAGAAAGAAAGTCAAGGGTAGGAGCCTTCTTTAGTAAAACAGCTCTAAGAACAAAGCGAAAAGACCATAACATTTTAAAAGCCATTTTGCTCAGGCTCGAGAGAAATATAATCAGCAGTATCATCATGGGCAGCTCTACAGATTGTTAATGCTGGTTTATTTGTCTTTTCAAAAAGAAAAGGAAAAGGTCTCACAGAGGATGGGCACTCGGCCACTGGAAGACAGAGAGCAAATGTAAACAAGTTATTGGCTTTGAACTTGTTTAATACTGCATGGGAGGAGCCAATGCTGAGTGCAGATGTGGATTTACAGAATTGCTTTTAGACAAAACTCACACATGCAAGCATACGCTTGGCTTGTATTGAATATGTCAACTCCATCTTTCCCCCCTCCTAGCCCTACTAGACTTGTTCATGTTAAATGATTTTATTTTCTGTGTCTTAGGACCCTTCTGTCTCTGAAAGCCGGGGCATCACTGCATATTGATACCCCCACTGGAGAGAAGATGGCACGGGCTGGCAAATGACCTTTTCTTTCCTCCTTCTCCCACCATTTTCTCCCTCTCTAGAAGTTGAACCAGAAGTTGACAACCTTCTGGTTTCAGACGCCACTCCCAACGGTTTCCGTCTGTCCTGGACAGCTGATGAAGGGGTCTTCAACAGTTTTGTTCTCAAAATCATAGATGCCAAAAAGCAGTTTGAGCCACTGGAAATAACCCTACTTGCCCCTGAACGTACCAGGGACATAACAGGTCTCAGAGAGGCTACTGAATATGAAATTGAACTCTATGGAATAAGCAATGGAAGGCGATCCCAGCCAGTCAGTGCTATAGCAACAACAGGTACCGTAAATAAACGGGGGAGGACAGAGAAAGGCATGACCTGGGGGTCTTCTTCTCACAGGGCTGGGTAATTACAAAAGATTTGGATGCAGACAAGCTTGCATTCAGATCCTGGCCCTTTTAGCTATAGATTGTGTTACCTTGGGCAATTTGGCTAAATCTTTATGCAAAAAGAGTATGATGCTATTTACTTAATAGGGTTGTGAGGATTAAATGAGATAATTTATGTAAACCTCATAGCAGAGGGCCTGGCACACAAATGAGAGCTGTTCACATTGTCATTAATGCATCATCATCATTACAGTTATAGCATTTGTTTAATTCCAAAGACTCTTCCTTCTGCCTATTATCTCACCATATTTTATCCAGAGATACACTTCCATGTTCTTTGGCCAAACATTCGAGCTACACTAAGCAGGGGATAATGGGGAAATGGCATCTCTACTTATAAAGATTAATATTTATAAAATGCTAATATGAATAATCAATACCATGATCAGCAAGGAGAGAGGGGGTTAGCTGGGAAGATTAACAGGCTAACTTTATTTGATACTCATAACAATTCTAAAAAGGACCTAGATGGGAAATGACAACCGTTTTCCACATGAGCTGGTTCAAGGAGGAAAAAAAGATGGTTAGTAGCGTAACTCTTTGTAATAATAATACTAACATGACTCTTAGAGGGAACAGGAAAGACCTACGACAGGTGGGTTAAATTCCCTCATGAAACAGGGAGATGTAGAAACGTGGCATTCTCTAGAGACAGCTGCTTCAAAGAGGAGGCAAGGGAAACAATCACAAAATCATAGGGAGAAATAAAGAGGACCTAAGACATGATGTAGCTCAGCCTCTTCTGTTTGTGCATGAAGAATAAGAGGTCCAGAAAGGTGAAGTGATTTGCCTAAGGTCACGTAGCTGGATGTAGAAGAGAACCCAGATGATCAACTTATTTTAATACCATTAAATATAAACAGACTGCATGACACATAACCAATGAATATACATGCTCTCCAATTCTGACAGGCATAGAGCATAACCCTAGCCAAAACCCTCTACTCTTGGTCAAAAGATAGGTATTCTATTATGTTAAATTTCAGGATTTAATAAGCTACAAGAAACCACTGACAAAAATCATAATCAGTATTTGCAGACATGGAGAAAATGCTGGGATGCAGGCAGCGACTTAGTGAGAAGAAAAACCCTGTTCCTTATTAACACCGACACTCTCACCCGGGATACAGGTCTGAGTCTCCTCTCCCTGTGGCTGCCCATAAAACAACTCCAGATCAGAGGCAGAGTCTGATTTTGACCTTGCTTTATAAACACACTGCTCTTCAAAGTTTACTTCTAATCACTGATTTTGTTTTGCTGATCATTTTTCTAGGGGTCCTGCAGTTCTATAGCAAAAAAGAGAATGAATAATCATGAGTTGAATTTGTTTTCTTTCTTTCTTTTTTTTTTTTTTTTTTTTTTTTTTTT